GTTCGACTGCCTCGTTTTAACTGGCGCCCAGCCGCCGATTCTGTTTTGGTCTGTCTTCAGGAGGTGGCGGCGGAGCCGAAGGCCAGCGAGGACAGCACTGGTGACCAGCAGGCTGCCGTCGCGGCGGCCCGGGAGGAGGTGGCGGCGGCCAGACGGTCGGAGAGGCAGTGGGCTGACCGGTGCCAGGCGGCCGAGCAGGAGCTGGCCGCGCTGCGTGCTCGGCTGGCCGGGGCTGGCGCACCGCAGACGAAACGGGCCTACCGGCCGCCGCGGCTCACGGTGCGCAGCCCGTACAGGAGGCGCACCTGGAGCCGGCCAAGGTGGTCAAGAGCAGGACTAAAGACAAGCTGTCCAAGACGGGCTCGCAGGGAAAGGTAAACAAGAGCGAGCCGGAAAAGCAGGCCGCCCAGGAGAAAGCGGGTGAGAAGAAGAAAGTGGTGAAGGAGCCACCAGGAAAGCCTGCCGACGAGAGTGAGGAATCGTCTGAAGAGGAAGAGTCGTCGGATGAAGAGACAGACAGTGAGGAGGAGAGGCGGAGGGAACTAGACCAGGATAGGAAGAAGAAGCTGAGAGATCTGAAAATGTGCAAAAGTAAGGTTTGGCATATTAACACAAAGGAAAAGCATGCCAAGGAAGAGAGAATACACCTGAAGAACCGCATTAAAACCCTTAACCAAAATTTGAAAGACGAAAATAAGAAGTACAAGGAACTGCAGCGTGAAGTAAAAAAGCTCGGGGCGATGATGAAAGGTAGCGACGAAGAAGGATCTGAAGAAGAAGATGAGGAAGACGAGGAGAGCGAACAGTCATCGAGTGAAGAGTCAGAGTCTGAAACAGATGATGAGTCTTCCGACGAGTCGGAGACTGATGACGAGACCCTGAACTTTGGAAGACAGAGTGCAAAAGATGCAAGAGAGGTCCAAGCGCCACGAAAACAGCGAGAAGGCTGTCAAGAAAGGCAATTATATGCTAAAGACAACTGCAGAGCGTCTGTTTGACAAGCTCCGACACGAAAAAGAAAAGTATCGCGCATTGGAACGAGAGCTAAACGAGCTTGTCAATGACCTTGGGTAGCTCTTAAATGCGCTTTGGTGCACGCTTTATCGGCATGTTTGATAGCTAACTGGTTGTTTCAATCAGTTATAGACAGATTGCATGCAGGACCATGTACTTGTTTTGTTCTAAAGCAAGGCCAACACAAATTATTGTCATCTCCGGCGAAATGTGTTCGTGCTGGTAAGCTGTAAGCTAACACGTGCGCTGAGTTTGCTTTGCCTTTGAAAGATAATCTAGTTTCTCGTGTTTATTGCTCTCACAGGTAGCTCTAAACCATTATATCACTTATTTTATACTGGTCTGCGTCTATTTCGCAAGCCGTTGCTTATTTTCTACGGTGGTACGCAATAACCATTGGATCGGCATTGGTCCATGTGAGAATATAGATCCTGTGCTTTCAAATGATTCTTCCATCCGATGGAGAAACACAAACTGGCGAACGGAAGGGCATAGAAGTATCGATGCGTAAGTATTTGTTGGCCATTTAAGTATACCCTTCAAAGGGTATTTTTTGGAATAATCCATGCAGTGCATTGATTACTCGTAGATCGCAGCGGCGGTGGACAGTGCGTGTTTGCGGTGTTCTTCTTCAATAAACACTGAAAGTTTCCCCTGTTTCCGAGAGCGGCTGAGGCGTGTGCAGTGTGCAACTCGGTGAAATCAGGAAAATATTCGCCTCAGAACGAATGGTTGACCCCTTTCACATTACGAGTGAGTGCAGTGTCAAAAACGTGCATACAAATATCCTTAGTACACATTCGTAGATTCAGCACCCATGAAAGCAGTGACCAGAATGAACGCTGCTCCAAACAATAGCGGTATTTTAAAAACAGAAAACTTCCAATGCCGGGTAGGTTTTTCGAATACTTGTACATTTTAAAAGCATACAAGTGCACTAGGTCTTCAAAACCAAAGGTTAAAACAGATAAACACTTAAGACAAATGATTCTCCTTTGACAAACACGTGTATTCGTCTTTCGTTGTGGTTAACCAATCCCCGGCTCGGCTAGCATCTAGCCACGGCAACGTTTGGTTTATTTGGAAGCGAACTATGCGTATATGCAAGTCAGGCCAAAACTCAGTAACAGAGAGGCTTCTGAAAGAAGACTCACTGGTTTCACAGGTATCAAAGTCCACAATTTATCCGTGCGTTTTCCGAAATGAGTGGGATTGATTACAATCTTTTAGCTAGGGCGCCCTTGGCGTGGTGCGGCTCCATCAAAGGTTGCCGTGACATGCCCGTCTTGCTAGCATCGTATTCGTATTTAGAATCAGCGTCTAATTCAGGTTTTCAACAGCTTTCTCCCCAGGTCAAACTCAGTCAGTTTTCACGAATCTGCAGTTGTTTCTTAAGGAGCGTAGAAATGTCAGGGCATCCCATTTTTGTTACCTTTATCTTTGACCATGAGAGTGTGATTCTGTAGGTGTGACGAAAGTAATCATTACGAAGGTCAACTTGATATTCATTGTGTTGGATTTCCTAGATAAACAGAGGCATGCCAGGGTATCTATATTTTGACTTTCCATTGACCTGTAGACGTTAAATTAAGTGACTTAGAGAAGACAGCATCGCTGATAACCGTCAATTACTTAACGAATTTGACTTGGGGATAAATCTATTTGAAACCAGAATTCGTCGCCGAACTTGAATGCGAATGCTATGTTAACTTGCAGGGCATTGCCGCGACGCGATCCTGCCGCGCAGAATCGTTTTGCGATTCAGTTATACCACGCCGCGCGGTGGCCCCACTGTCGCAGTTTAGCACCATTGGTGTAAATTATTGGAAAGGGGGGAGCATGGACGTGGATATTGGGAAGGCCGAGTTTCCCAACATCCAAAAATAACACATTAACACCACGGCTGTGCATGGGAAGAAAAAATCAACATTGTCTCGAAATCCCAACGCTGGAGCAGTTCATTGATGGGCGAGAAAAAAAGTGGTGGTTATTGACACTGTCACTGCTTCCTCGGCATCCCTTCCTTTAATCTTTTGAAAGACGCACTGCCAAGCCAAGAAGACACCCTCAGCAACAACACTGAATTTGTCTGCTTCCCTAACCGAACCATCCTGGCTGTACGTTGATCATGACTCATACCTAAAAAACTAATGCCCCTCAGCCACATATATTTCAACGTCCACACTCTGTTGATTTTTATTTGGTTGTGTATGAAAAAGCGTGTTATGAAAAACGTGATTGCACTATGATAGCGTATCAGATATTGTTCAAGTTTGGTGTCATTTCCATTGGGATATTTGGCATCATCGTTGCATCGTCGTGTGTTTTGTAAAATTAAATTGATACATTCTTGTTTGATGAGATGCGGAACAGTTCATGACCGCATGAATTACTGAAAAGGCTAGGAAAACCGAGCAGAAATTGCGAGGATTGAAGAGCTGTACATCAATAGTAGGAACTCAAACTCAGCAGACCCCATCAAATAAAAAGGTCGTGAAATGCCATCCGAAAAGTTAGCGAATGACGGTGTTTCTTATAATAGCATGTGTGATTCAGTGTTCCTGGTTTGTGTTATCTCAGGTTAGAGTGACAATATATATCACGTTTGAATCACTGATTTAGAGGAATGCTTTACAGGAGTACTCATTACTGTTACTACCTTGGAATGGACCATCTGCGAGCATACTTCTGCACGACACGAAGGGTCGGTATTGCTTATTTAAGGCTTCACGTATCCTTCGTAGGCGTTCTTTAATGATTACATCAAGCATGGTCATTGTAAAAGCATCAAAGGCTTCAAAGCTAATTGCATTTTTCGGTTCGACAAATAAGCGATGCAAGTTATCAGTGTTTGATGTGATCGAAACATGTTAATCTTCGTTCTCGCAACTTAGGAGGACACACTAATCAAGCTGAATATCGTATGTCAGGAAAGCAGCAATTGTGCAGTGATGCAAGACACTTCCAACCAGGATTTGTAGGCATGTCACGTTTTCACCTTTGCTGTGTTCAGGTTTTTGTTCCCAACAACTTTCAAGATCAATCCTTGTAAGCAGAAGGTTCGTTAAAAACAAAGTTGCATGCGAAACACTTCATGGATCTTGTTCGCACTGGAGGGTTTGTACCGGAAGTGTCGTGTGCCAGAAATTAATGTGCAAAAGCCCCGAATGTTTACACGCGCCCAGGTGGCCAGTTGGATACCCTTCGCTCGAGTGGGGATCAATATGACCCCCCTGAGATCTCAGGAACTAAGAGAGCTAGAGACACCAAATTCACAGAGTGCGGAATTCAAAGTGCGGTTCCTGTCACCAACGAATTTGAAATGAGCGCCAGAAACTACCCCATACAGCGGGCCCTAGAGTAATAAAACAGGTTAATTTTGGCCTTGGAATAACCTCCATACCTGACCCTGGGTCAACGTAATTTGCTCATCCAATTGTTACGTTACCTAAAAAAAAGTATTTTAGAGATGTATGGCTTCGTCTAACACTCTGTTGTTGGACCAGATTGAAGGATCCCTGAGAAACTGCCTTCGCTGAAACAATGGCCTGACTGACCTACCATAACTGGGCGACCTTAAAAAGGGCAACTAAATGTTTGATGCAGATGATTCACTATTCATTTTTCTATAGCTATGCAAAATTTAGCGCGGCCACGCCGCGCCGTTCGGAAACTATTCTGGAAAAACCTTTGAGGGTCAATTTGACCCCTACCCGAACGCGTGTTAAGGGTT